CCGCCAAATCCTCTGTTTATAAATAAAAACACTACACATGACTCACAACTGATGACACATGTACTTTTCTCAGCCCGTCCTCCAAACAAAGACCCAAAAGTGATTCCATGCACCCGCCAAACCCCCTGCTTATGAATGAAAAACGGTTTACACACGACTCACAACTGATGACGTTCGAATATTTCCGGAACAAGTGCTCCACTGACGAATTTTGTTTTGTTCGCTGACAGAAACAAAATACCTAACTAAACCCAGCCAGTGCCTATATATAAATGCACAAAATGCTATTATATAATAATATTAATTTATAATTTAGAAGAGTTTTGTTTTGAACGAACATAATGTTAAAATTGATGAATACGCCTTTGGGGTCGACCTCTGGATGTAATGGACATGGACGGGAGGACATGTCTGAGGACGGGTTGACAAATACAAATAATCGCTAACAGAACCTAAAATCCTAACCAATGCCTAAATATGCACATTATGCTAATATATATAACAATATAATATATATTTGGGAAAATTCCTATTTTCAATGAACAGCATGTTAAAATTGCTAAATGCATTTTTGGGATCGACCGCTGGATGGAATGGACTTAATCTGATGACGGGTTGTCGCCGCGAGTGGATCAGACGTAAAGAGTAAAGTGAGTGCCGAAAATATTTTTCTGCTTAATCAAACCACCAGCTGGAAAATAGTGGTACAGAAAGAAAAAAAAGGGAAAATGGTCACTTATGAAGGTCGTCTAGGAGCTGCCAGACCATTGTAAATGTTAGAGGAACACAGGAAGTTCTAAATAGGAAATTGTTCAAGTGCGCTAATCAACACCAGAAGGCTCTCCCATATTCAGGAAAGACTCGACCTTCCACGTTTCAAGGGGTGTTAAAACACTCTACACCAGCCCAAGTGCACCGTATGGCAGCCTCTACACTATAAAGAAGAATCTATGAGAAGGAACTAGCATAATTTTATAAATTTACGGTCACAACAAAATCACAAAAGTGTTAATGTCATGGTACCACTTGATCAGTGTTAAGTTTTAAATTAGATGGGGGTACCTGGCGGTACCCAGGTCAAGCCAGTGCTCTTTTTTTCCATCTCCTCCATCCCTGACGTACTCCCTCTGTCTTCACAACCCCCCACCCCCCACACCCCCACACATTCTCTATCTACTATCACTATACATCTTTCTCGGCAATATCTATATTTACTCTTCCAAACACTCCTTCCACGTCCATCCCTAACACCCTCTCTCCATACCCTCCTTACATCTTACCTTTAAACAAAATTCCCATATTATCTCTTTTAACCAAAACGTTGCACCCAGAAAGGCAAGTTCGCCATTTCAACATGGTGTTATATGTCAAAGTCTGAACACAAATATTAAAACGAATGCTCAAGTCTGCAGACTCTGGGCATCTAACATCACAACTTCATAATAAGGGAATAGTTTGCTTCCAACACCCCCTTTAAAAAGAGATTGGCCTCAACTGCAACGTCTTATGATACGTTGATCCTGCGAAGTTTTGATGAGTATAAACCCAAGCATCTGGCCTCAAACTTTGACATTCATTTATAGCTACTAGGCTTTGGGGTACCAGACTGTGTGTCAGTCTCTCAATCTCTCAGTCTCTCTCTCTCTGTCTCTCTCTCTCTCTCAGTCTCTCTCTCTCACAGTCTCTCTCTCTCACAGTCTCTCTCTCTCACAGTCTCTCTCTCTCACAGTCTCTCTCTCTCACAGTCTCTCTCTCTCACAGTCTCTCTCACAGTCTCTCTCTCTCACAGTCTCTCACAGTCTCTCTCAGTCTCTCTCAGTCTCTCTCTCTCTCTCTCTCTCTCTCTCTCTCTCTCTCTCTCTCTCTCTCTCTGTCTCTCTCTCTCTCTGTCTCTCTCTCTCTCTGTCTCTCTCTCTGTCTCTCTCTCTGTCTCTCTCTCTGTCTCTCTCTCTGTCTCTCTCTCTGTCTCTCTCTCTGTCTCTGTCTCTGTCTCTGTCTCTGTCTCTGTCTGTCTCTGTCTCTCTCTCTCTCTCTCTCTCTCTCTCTCTCTCTCTCTCTCTCTCTCTCTCTTTACAACCCAACCAATCCCATCCATTTCAGATGGGCATGCATACAAAAATTTAGGTAAGAAAAAGGACCCAACCCGTTATTTTATTTCAAACGTCATGAAAATTGCAGGGGCAGGGAATGGGAGAGGGGTTGTAGGTGTAGTTATTTCTTATACCTCAGCACTTTATCGACTAGCCTGTGACACTTATCCAAGCGCCACAGGTCTCTACCCCCCCCCCCTCTGAATTTTTGCGTGTAATTGTAAAGCGACGCCAGCCCACGATGCCAGCCCACGACGCCAGCCCACGACGCCAGCCCACGACGTTAGCACCACGACGCCAGCCCACGACGCCAGCCCACGACGTTAGCACCACGACGCCAGCCCACGACGTTAGCACCACGACGCCAGCCCACGACGCCAGCCCACGACGCCAGCCCACGACGCCAGCCCACAACGCCAGCCCACGACGCCAGCCCACGACGTTAGCACCACGACGCCAGCCCACGACGCCAGCCCACGACGCCAGCCCACGACGTTAGCACCACGACGCCAGCCCACGACGCCAGCCCACGACGCCAGCCCACGACGTTAGCACCACGACGCCAGCCCACGACGCCAGCCCACGACGCCAGCCCACGACGTTAGCACCACGACGCCAGCCCACGATGCCAGCCCACGACGTTAGCACCACGACGCCAGCCCACGACGTTAGCACCACGATGCCAGCCCACGACGCACCCTTCAGATGCTAGACGCGACAGGTCGCTTTTTAGACTTTCTATTATATATAATATCCTTTCACAGGTGTTTATACAGGCATCAGCGTTCATATAATAATTTATTATCAACTTTGTTTTTTATTTATTTACATGCCAACGGCATGTAAATAAATACAATAAAATATTAGGTACCGAAGTACCCCACAAAACAGAACACAGAACAACATCACAAAACACAAAACAAGTACATAGGAACTCATTTGTTGTTTTTTTACAGAAACATAAGAACAGAACACCAACACCAAACACACAGGAACAAGGTACAATAACAAAAACAGTAACATTTCATTGGTCAGAGGAATCAGCGGCAGTTCGACCATAGGAATGTTTATTATAAATACAACAAAATATATAAAAATAATCACAGAAAAGAAACACCGAAGAGCCAAAGCATCACAAACACACGCACAAAACAGAAAACACAGAAACAACTGAACAACGCAACAAAAACATAAATTTGGATACAGAACAATGATGCTTCTTCTGGATACCGACTATACGGATTCCGTGACACGTAATCATCCCACACAGCCCACACTTCGTCCGTCCGGGGAACACTGTCACACGGGCTATACATAAAGTCCGGAATTTCCACCCCCCGGCGAAGGCAAGATGAGAACCGGGTCCACAACCTCCCAACCTGGGGATCCAGCAACCAAGGACACAGAGGCAACCGACCGTGGAAGACACAGTAACAGGTGAAACGGTTCCTGCATCACCAACCACCGCCACCACAGGAACACCTGCTGCATCGTCAGCCCCCACTGCCACCACCGTAGGACCAGCCACAATCCCCATGAACCGCAGGCACCGCAACAACAGCATTCTCAACATCCACATCAGAATCCTCGGAAGACAGCACGTCGGCCCAGGGCACACCACGAGGAGGAGACACTCCGAGCTCCCCTCGAACGCTTGGAGACAGATCGCTGGTCGTTAGAACTATCACACCCATCACGAGACACCACAACAGGACCCTCCAGGGGGACGTGCAAAACCATGCATAGCACGATCACGCAGCACCGCAGAAGAGTTCAGCACACCCAGAAGAGTTCAGCACCTCCAGAGGGGAAATATCCTCCTCCCAAAAGAGATTCACTCAGTCCACGCTCCCTGTGCTTCACCCCGCAGTCTGGTGCCCCGACAAACCGCAATGGAAGCACGTACGCAGCTGCCGAGCATAGAACACCCTGATGTAATACCCCATCAGCTTGGCAGAGGAAGGAATATCAGCCTTCAGCCGCATGGTCAGCATGCGTATCCCATTCTGGACACCCTTCAGCCAGCCGGACGAAAGAACGTTTATCCTGACGGACAACACCCGACCAAACTGTCCAAAATAACGCCGCAACAGCACCTTGAGAAACTCGGAAAGGGGATCCTTGAACGCCGACATACGTGAACGTGCCACTGCGGTCCGAAACAACCAAAGAACCCGCAACGGCAGGTAGCTGGAAGGCGCACCCATCGTAGTGCTCGATGAAATCAGCGTAGAAACCAGGGGAACACAGCTTAACGACCGCACGGTGACTTGAAATGAGCTGGCCACCTAGTACGTCCGCCACGGCAACCGTCAACACGTCAAACAAGCCCACAGCCACGAGCTGATAATCTACATTCCTGGGAAATTTAAGTCCAAACGTCAATGAACGCTGCACCAGGAGGAGACACACCACCATCACACAGGTGAACGCGGGCTCAAGCCCCCGTAAACCATATCACCAAACGACTACACACCTGACCGGGCCAGCAGGTACTGGAGAGCACAGCCGACGTCTACCCGCTCCGGAGGGCAAACCCCGAATCCATTTATTATCAGATAGTCTTTCACATGCTCTGCCATCTCAAATGAAGCATTTTCAATTACCTGGTAGCAGTACCTAACTAGCTTATTTCGTACTATTTAACCACGTGTGTCAAACCGTAGAAACCATTAGTTTGACACGACAGGTCTGTCAAGTGAAAGCAATTGACACTAAGTAATTATCAAAAGAAGGCGTCAGCTGAGAAGACTATGTAGCACCTTCACAGTCGTATGATATACAAAAGGTGCTAAACATCACTAAAGATGCCAATACGAGAACAAAAGTGCATAAGGCAAACGACATCAAAGGTATCCAAGTCACCAAGGATTCTATTGAGGGACAAATGACCACGAGGGACGGTCGGGA